ACACATACAGACACACACACACACATGCACACACACTTTTTTCCCAGAAAATTAAAAGTGGCTGAGAACCATGCCCTGCCACCATCTTTAAAGCAGAAGAAATCTTTGCAAGTTTGATCTTTTTTATTTTTTAAATTTATATAAGTGGAACAAGTGTCATGTATTTCATATATACAGATTTAGGCACATAGTAATACTTCCCACCCCACCCTCCTGCCCTCTTTCCTTTCTTATTCGTTCTTTTAAATTTTACAGTGACATATTTTTAGTTTATTTGATAATCATAAGCTTAACCCTCAACTAAGTAAAGACCCTCTTAACCTTTGTATCACACCTCAGCATTAAAATCTGATGATATTTTAGATTATTTCCCATTGATTTTGGAAAATGGTGGGTAGTACATAACTGCTATTCTCACAAATTATTGTTTGCATAGCAAGCATGGCTACTCTAAGCCTGAGAGCTTTTAATTAGCCTTCCTACCTTTCATTATTTCACTAGTATAGTTTTTTGAGTCTGTTATTTTAGAATGGACTGTTGAGTGGAAAAGGTAAGCAGGTGTGTTAGCAGTTAGGCATTTGTGCCTGCTCTGTTCAGTGGGTAAGGACAATTATCAGCTAATTAGCATTGTGTTTTGTCTGCTCTCTATAGAACTGGGTGCTGTTGGAGTTATCAAAGCATGGCTCCTGTCTCTAAAGAGCTTGGAAACAAATTTTATTTCCCCCAAACACAGAATACTTTGTATTAAACACACACACACACACATTTTTCATGGTAACAAGTTTAAACTTACCATGCCTCTTTTGTCATAAACCAAATTTCATTTTATGTAGAGATGTGTCCTCTGTTGGCTCTTTGTCCTGTTAACGTATACATGTCTTACAGCATTATCTACTAGTCTAAATACTACAGCTTTGTAGTAAGTGTTCCTATCTAGCAGGGCACATCTTTTACATTGTTCTTCAAAATCATTCTAGATGTTTCTGGATCTTTACATAGGAATTTTGTAGTTAATTTGTAAAGTTTACATAGTAAAAAAACCAAAGCAAAACAAAAAAAAACCCTATTGAGTTGTTATTAGAATTAAATTAACTTATACATTTGTTTGGTAAATCTAACAAGTTTATGATATTGGCACTTTCTGCTTACAGACAGGGCATATCTTTCCATTTATTTAGGTCCTCTATTATGTGCACTTTAATAAACTGTTACTGTTTTCCCTGTGATGGTTCTATATATTTTCATTAAATGAAATAATAAGCAGTGTTTAGTTTTTTTCTATATGTAGAAACCTCTAAATTCTGTCTAAAAACATGAGGAAGATATTTGAATAATTGGATAAATATAACTGCTCTTGGTGGAACTAGATAATATCATAAAGATATGAGATAATCTTAATAAATTAAAATCAGATTATTTATTTAAGTTTGGGGTCTTAAAATGGATTTTTATGAACAATTTGAAATATTTTTTCATTTCCTTTGGAGTTTCTTCTTTAACCTACAAGTTTTTTAGAATTATCTTATTTGGGAGATATTTTTTATATTTATTTGTTATACATTTCTTTTTATTTTTTTAAAGGCTGATTTACTTGTTTGAAAGGCAGAGTGAGTGAGCGAGAGAGAGAGAGAGAGAGAGAGAGTTCCATCTCTTGGTTCACTCCCCAAATGGCCGAAATGGCTAGGGCTGGGCCAGGCCTAAGCCAGCAGCCAGGAGCTTCTTCTGGGCCTCCTACATGGGTGCAGGAGCCCAAGCACTTGGGCCATCTTCTGCTGCTTTTCCAGGTGCATTAGCAGGGAGCTGGATCAGAAGTGGAGCAACAGGGACTCGAACCAGCTCCCATATGTGATACTGGTGGGCTTTGCAGCTGCAGGCTTAACCTGCTATGCCACAACACCAGCCCCTTTATCGACTTCTAATTTAATTCTGTTGTGGTCAGAGAATATAGTCTGTATTATTTTAATACTTTAAATTTATTGAAAGTGCTGATATGATCCAGTGTGAGTTGAATCTTAATGAATGTTCCGTGTTCTACAGTTGCCTGGACTGGTGTTCCGTAAACATAAGTGGAGATAAAGCTGACTTGGTGGTGGTGGTGTAAGTCTTCAGTGTCCTTACCTGTTTTCTGTTTATTTCATCTGTTGATTACTGAGAGAGGAGTGTTGAACTCTTAACTTTTGATTGGGAGTTGGTTTATTTCAGTGTCCACTTCATTGTAAAGCTTTGTAATTAAGTTTGTAAGGACTTGCTGATTGGCTTTCTCAGTAAAAGTGTCTCTTCTTTTTCTCTGATAATATTCCTTATCTGAAAGTCCAGTTTCTCTGATATTAATGTACCCACTCAAGCCCTTATCATTGGGGCTACATAGTCTTTCTATTTTTAACCTATTTGTGTCTTTATAACTGATTTATGTTTTGTACAGACACATGTAGTTTGGTCTTGATTTTTGACTTTACATGAGTTTACTTAGTCTGTTGACAGTCAATATGCTTATTAATATGTTTAGCTTTAAGTCTCCCATTCTGCTGTTAAGTTTTCTGTTTGTCCTATTTGATCTTTGTTCCCCTTCCCACCCTTTTTTGGTTTTCTTTTGTATTAAATTACTATTTAATTAGTATTCCATTTCAGCTATTCTTTTTATTTATAACCTGTGTCTTTGTGTCTTTTATTTGTTGCTCTAAGCAATTTGTAGCATACATTTTAAGTTATTAGTTTGCAATGAATTAATATTGTGCCACTTCATGTATAATGTAAGAACCTTGTAACAGTAGGGTGTTTTCCACCCTCCTGCCCTTTATACTGTTGTTATCACAGGTTTTGCCTCAACATATATTATAAACCATGTAGGACAAAAACTCCTCCATTTATGATGGGGTCGTGTCCTGAGAGACCCATTGTGAATCAAAAATGCATTTAAATAAACCTAACCTATCAAATACCATAGCTCAGCTTAGCCTGCCTTAAATGCACTCAGAACACTTAATTATAGCCTACAGTTGGGCAAAATCATCTGAAGTGTTGAATGTCTCATGGGATTTGTTGAATAATTCACTGAAAGGGAAATGGTTTCTACTGAATATGTTTCATTTTTGCACCATTATGAAATGAAAAAAATTGTAGGTCAAACTATCATAAGTCAGGGACTGTTTGTACTTTGCTTTTACATCAGTTATCATTTAGAGAAATTAAAGAATAGAAATTATATTTTATTTACCTACATAAATATTATAACCAGTGGTTTTCATTCCTTTGTGCAGATCCGAGTTTTTACCTGGTGTCGTTTTCGTTCTACGTGAAGAACCTCTGTTAGCATTTCTAGTAATGTTGACATGCTGGTCATGTCTTCTTTCAGACTTTGCTCACTTTGCAATGGCCGGAGCTGGACCCATTCAAAGCCAGGAGCCAGGAGCTTAATCCGGGTCTCCCACGCAGGTGCAGGGGCCCAAGTACCTGGGCCATCTTCCACTGCTTTCCCAAGCCATAGCAGAGAGCTGCATAGAAAGTAGAGCAGCCTGGACTCAAACCAGCACCCACATGGGATGCCACACTGCAAGTGGTGGCTTTACCTGCTACACCACAGTGCTGGCCTCATAGTATTCTTTTTAAAAATATTTTATTTGGGGCCAGCACTGTGGCGTGGTGAGTGGAGCCGCCACTTGCAGTGCCAGCATCCCATATGGGCACCAGTTCGAGTCCTGGCCGCTCCACTTCTAATTCGGCTCCTTGCTATGGCCTGGGAAAGCAGTAGAAGATGGACCAAGTCCTTGGGCCCCTGCACACGCATGGGAGACCTGGAAGATGCTCCTGGCTCCTGGCTTCGGATTGGCACAGCTCTGGTCGCTGCAGCCAATTGGGGGAGTGAACCAATGGATGAAAGACCTCTCTCTGCCTCTCCTTTTTTCTCTGTCACTCTGCCTTTCAAGTAAAATAAATATGTCTTTTAAAAATATTTTATTTATTTATTTGAAAGGCAAAGTGACACAACAGAGAGGGAGAGACACACAGATCTTCATCTGGTGGTTCACTCCCCAAATGGCTGCAGTGGCTAGGGCTAGGCCAGGGCGAAGCCAGAAGCCAGGAACTCCATCCAGGTTTCCCATATAGGCAGCAGGCATCCAAGTACTTGGACCATCTTCTGCTACCTTCTCGAGCACATTGGTGAGGAGCTGCATTGGAAGCTGAGCAGCTGGGACTGGAACTGGCACTCTGATATGGAATGCAGGAGTTGCAAGCAGCGGCTTAACCTGCTGTGCCACAGTGGAGGACCTGACCCTGTGCTATTCTTATAATACTTTAGTTTAGAATTCTAAACATCCAGATCTATGTTTTTTGTCTGATTTCTAATTTAATTATTTGACACTTACTTTGAGAACATTTAAAGGATGTTTGCTATATTTTGACCTTTTTTTCCTTAATATATGTATTTGAAAGTCATTGAATTCTACTTTGAGGTGTTGACCTTGAAGTGGTGGGTGAGTCTGATTATACAGTTCTATGTAGAAGACTGATGACTTCAGGGCCATTGTTTTAATATGGCCAGGCTTTTGGTGACATAAACAGGAAATGCAGATTTTGTTTTTTGTGGCATGCACATGCTATGTATGAAGCTTTCAAACTGATCTATATTTGTTTCCGTAAGTGTCCTTGAAGCTACTGAAAGTTAAATGAATTTAAGGGTATGGACGTAAACCCACAGATATTGGACTTTTGGATTAAGTTGTGGAACTTAACAATATTTTTGTAACTTTTACAAATATATTCAATTGTAATGTTATTGTCAAAATATTCATTGAGGATAACACAATAAAGCAAGTCTTCAACATCTGCATAATATATGAGATGGTTATTGGCACTTAATGAAATCCTACCTTTAAAAGAAGTGAAGTATCTATTCCTTGAGGGAAAGGTAATAAGCAATTGAGAATTATGACTAGTTTTCCTGCTTCACCATGCTGCACAGTAAGCTGATTTCTTAGTGAAATGTTGCTCTTTCATTTCAGAATTCTTTATTACTGAATAATGGACGAGGGAGACAGAGAAAACGAGAATGCGTAAGAATTCATAACTGACTGATATTTTTGTTATAGCCCTCTCCCCCATCTTGTTTTCTTATTTCACATCTTGCAAAATCCTGCTTCCTCAGGGAAGCCTGATTCACTCAGGAAAAATGTGTTTTCCCCAATGAGTTTTTCCTAACCCCCAGCCCCAATTCTATTGTAATACTTAGCACATCACCTATGTATCTGACAGCCTCCTTCATCAAACTGTGTCCTCCATGACTTCCACAGTGCCTGCCAAGAGCTGATGCTAAATAAATGTGATCATTAAATAATGGATGGGTATACACTTCCTGATATGTCTAGAAGCCTGTTTTTCAACTTTGGTTTGCCCACAGCTTTAATTCATTTACATTTGAGAACACAAATTAACTTATTTTCCCAAGCAAAACATCCAAAATAAACTCAATAAAAAGGTTTTTGTCAAGACATTCAGCATGTTCTGCGGTTTTTAAAGGTTAAAAAAACTCAATTAGTATTTTATTACCCAGTTTTCTCTCTGAGATGCAGCATTGGCTTTGAGAGAGACTTTTGAATAATTATAGACCACTTAGAATTTTTAAATAGAAGTAATCTTGTTAAAGCAGGTAAGACTATGTGGTGGAACAGACTCACTCATTTAAATTAAAATGAATCTGACAATTTATTTATGCAAAGCTTAGTTTACCATGCCAGACATTGTGCTGGCCTTTACTCTAGAAGACAGGGCAACAGATATGGTCTCCACTCTCAAGGGCCTCATGGTTTAACGGTGATAAAGTTGGCTTTCGTTTCCTTATTTTAACAGTGACAGTTACTGTTGTGCTATGAGTAATTGAAGAACTAGGTTTTTCCCAAATATTGATACTAACATTTCTCTCTTCTTATCTCTTCCTTCTAGTGTCCCACGATCTGAATCCCCAGCCCCATCTTTACCTTTAGTAACTCTGATTACTTTTTGTCCACCAGTGATGTACCTGGTAGACCTGAAAGGAGAAAGAAAGAACGGATCAAGTCCTTCTTTAGTGAACTTCGTGCAATGATGAAGAGTCAAGGTTATCCTACAAAAGGAGACAGATACAAAGCACCAATGAATGATATTGCTGTTTCACAGCTTAAAGGTCTGATTAGACAATCTCACCCATTCTCACCATTGGCTAGACATGTTGAAAATTAGCTGTGGGTGGGATTGTTAAATCCTTCGCTTTTTTTTTAAGATTTATTTATTTATTTGAAAGTCAGAATTACACAAAGAGAGGAGAGGCAGAGAGAGAGAGAGAAAAGTCTTCCATCTGCTGGTTCACTCCCCAATTGGCCACAACGGCCGGACACAACGGCCAGAGCTGCGCCGATCCAAAACCAGGAGCCAGGAGCGTCTTCCTGGTCTCCCACATGGGTGCAAGGGCCCAAGGGCTTGGTCCATCTTCTACTGCTTTCCCAGGCCATAGCAGAGAGCTGGACAGGAAGTGGAGCAGCCAGGTTTAGAACCGGCGTCCATATGGGATGCCAGTGCTTCCAGGGCATTAACCCGCTGAGCCACAGCGCCGGCCCCAAGTCCCTTGCTTTACCTCAAAAACATTATTTGGGAGAATTGATGATTAGAAGATATATTGAAGTATCTTCTATATCTCTTAATTTTTTATTTATATAAGATGAATAAATTTCATGTAATGCAAATATACACTTTAAGAACATAATGCTAACTTCCCACCTACCCTCCCTCCTGCCCATGCTCCCAACCTCCCTTTTCTTCCCTGTTTTTTTCTTTTAATTTTGACAATGATGTACTTTTAGTTTGTTTTATAATCACAAGCTTAACCATCCACTAAATAAAGAATTCAACAAATAGTAAAAGGATAAACCATTGTTCCTCAAAAGTATAGACAAGGGGTATAAACAGTACTCAAATTTCAAAATGTCAGGGGGCCAGCACTGTGACGCAGTTGGTTAAAGCCCTAGCCTGCAGTGCCAGCATCCCATATGGGCACAGGTTCAAGTTCTGGCTGCTCTACTTCCTATCCAGCCCCCTGCTGGTGCTCCTGGGAAAGCAACAGAGGATGGCTCAAGTCCTTGGGTCCCTGCACCCATGTGGGAGTCCTGGAAGAAGCTCCTGGTTTCTGGCCTCAGATTATCTCAGCTCTGGCTGTTGCGGCCATTTGGGGAGTGAACCAGCAGATCAACCATCTCTATCTCTGTCTCTGTCTCTCCGCCTCTCTTTGTGTAACTCTTTCAAATAAATAAAATAAATCTTTAAAAAAAAGTGTGTAACACATTCTTAAGTATCATTTGTAAGACTGTACAAGTAGTGACAAATTCTTTCAAAAGATAGCTATTCTTTCTATTCACAAGTTTGTTTATGATTGATGCTTAAAATGTTACTGAGGTTCATGCAAAAAGTGGAATAAGAAAATGAAAATAGAAGCATATGTGGGAAATAATAATGTAGATTTTGGTATCTTAAGCACTTGAAGACATACAGAAAATGTTGCTAAGGGAAACACGGCTTCAAGGCTGTAAAATGATTCCTACAACACATTAAAGCATTTCAAAGGGTCATGCCCATAAGCACATAATCATGCTGTAATAATCTCTTACCTTAAAAAAATCCCATAATAACTTCAGCTGTCGCCCCGTTTCTGTGTCCCCCTTCACAGCAAAACTTACTGAAATAATTTTGTAGGCATATCTCTTGTTTCCTCACATCACATTTTTTCCCTAGTTCTCCACACCAACAATTTTTTCAGGGATACCAGTGATCTTCAGATTGCTGAATTTGTTGGTCCTCTAACTGTCCTCATGTTTGTTTATGTTTCAAAAACACGGGATGAGTGACAACTCCCACCTTAAAGAACAATTTTCTCTTAGCTTCCAGGACAACACACTCACTGGCTTCCTCTCAGCTGGTTGACTTCCATTGACTTCTCTGTCTCTTTTTGTTACATCTTTCTTCCCTTTGAAACTTTAAACATCACTTCAGTCCTTGGAATTTTTCTCTTCTATATCTATGCTCATTTTTCAGGCAGTCTCATCCAGTATCTTGATTTTAAGTGCTATCTGGATGTCAGGGATGACCCCACCACCACCACCACCACTAACACAAGAACAACTTAACAACAAGTTTCATCATTAATTAAGGAAGCACCTAAGACAACAGGCAATGGAGTTGGACACTTAGGCATAACTAAAACTCAGGGGCACACACATACTTTCTAAACCTACCTCTAGCCCTGACTTCCTACCCAATCAGGCCCCATACTTGAGAAACATGCTCATTATTAAATCACCAAGAAAGTTTTCTAATGTGAATTCTTCACTTGGATATCAGTTGAACATGGCCATAGAGGGATTCTTGATCTTCCTCTACCACATTGTCTCTTGAACTCACACTCTCTTCTCTCCAGACAAGTGACCGGCAATTGTTACTCCACCAGCTGCTGGTAACAAATCTAGGAGTCATTCTTGTTTCCTCCACTTCTTTCACAACCTCATCCAATCCACTGGCAAATCCTTTTGCCTTCTAAGATATATATCAAATGTGTTCACTATTCACCATTGGTATAGCTTTGATGTACCACCATAATCCAGGCCACCATCATCTTATATTTTTCTTTATTTTAATTGAGAAATACAAACTATATATATTTATGGTGTACAACATGATGTTTATATGTAAGTATAAATGTGATATGACTAACTCAAAGCTAATTAACATGAATTATTTTCTGTAGTGAGAACATTTAAAATAGGTTTTTAGCAATTTTGAAGTATGCAATATATTGTTATTAACCAGAATCACCATGTTAAACACTGTATTGCTTGAATTTACTCCTCCTATCTAAATGAAATTTTGTATCCATTTATAAACATTTTCCTACTCCCCCTCCCCCATCTCCTACTTCTGAAAGAGATTCTTACTATGACTGTTTTTATGCTTAACCCCTGTTTTATTCTATTTTCCACATCCATTAGTGATATTTTAAAAGCTGACTGCATCACTCTTAAAAGCACTTGATATTTAATTCAGAATAAAATACCAATTCTTTGCCATATAACCTACATAATCTAGCCATTTCTATCTTTCAAACTTCATTTTCTACTACCTTACCCAATGACTGTACCACTGAAACCACTCTACTCATTTTTTAGTTTGTTTAAATAGAATTCCTTCCTGCTTCACTTTGTACTAACTGCTGCCTCTGCCTGTCTCCCATGTGTTTACCTCATTGTCATTCAGGTCATATCTCAGATGTTTCCTTCCCAGTAAGGCTTTCCTTTATCACCTAATCTCAGTCATTCTACTTGCAGGAATCTGAAACAATCTGCTATGTTGTTCATGTGTTGATCATCTGTATATCCTGCCCCATCAGTTTATAAGATACAAAGGGACCATGTCTTAGTCTGTTTTATGTTACTATAACACTTGAAATTGGGTAATTTATAAAGAAAAGCAGTGTATTTTAGCTCATGGTTCTTGAAGTCCAAGGGCAAGGTGCTGGCATCTGCTTGGCTTCTGTTGAGTGCCTTGTACTGCTTCTACTCATGGCAGAAAGAATAAGAGCAAATGGATGTGTGCAAAGAGAAAAGGGAGCCAAACTCCTGAGAGAGAGAATCCATTCCTGAGAGAAAAGCCTTCATTTGTTCAGAGGGCAGGTCCCTCATGACCCTAAATGCCTCTTAAAGTCTTCACCACGTCTCAACACCGTTAAATTGGGGACCAATCCTCATATGAGTTTCAGTGAGTACAAATCACAGCAGACAGTTATTTTACGTCTGCTGCTCATATTGTATCCAGAGCTTCTAAAATCGTCTGACACATAACAGTTCTTTAAATGCTGGTTAAATAAATGAATGAATGATATTGAATTTAACAAGAATTAAGTCGTTCTTACTGTGACTTAAATAAGTATCATGTTAGACATTGGGCATATAATAAAGAATTGCTGTGGTGTACACCCCAGAGGCAAAACAAAAACAAGCTCATGGATAATAATAAGGTAGAAAAGCCCTTTATTATTTAATGATGAAATGCATTGGTTTTCTTTTCTTAGAAATATATAGATTCTCCTTTCTATTCTTTGTAGTTTTTTGGAAGAAGCATAAGAGATGAAAGTCATAGGTGGAGCTCAAAGGTGATAAGGAAATGACCTCAGAAAGTAACCATGAGAGGATATCATGGGTCATTTCTTGAGTTGAAGGAGCTGTGCCCAGAATTGTTGAGCTTTGCCTTAAATTGAATTTCTGCACTGGGGCAATGGTCAGCAGTGTTAATCTTGAGGCAGTTGTGTAATTAGTTTGGTTTAATTTTCATGTGATTCCCACTTCCTACCCAGCTGTATGCCTCTTTGTCCTATTTTGTGAGGAATGTGAAGCTCTTCTGCTTAGGTATTACTTCTCTGTTACTCTAATCTACTTATGGTACAGAATCTGAGACTCATGCCAACTGGAAAACCAATAGCCACTATCAGAATTACATTTTCAATAGGGATCAAAGTTGTGTACTATTGGTGAGGAGAAGTAACTAATACTTATTGACACAAACCATTTATATCACTTGAAATTGAAGGCTTGTGTCAATGAGGTTGTTTTTACTAGTGGAGTAGATGAGGTTGGAGGAGGTGAAGGGAGTAGATGTTAGGAAAGTCTCTGAGTAAGCACTGGAGCAGGACCACTGCTCATTGGGGAAACCAGTAAACCTTGAATGGACTAGAATGGGTGGGAGACAGAACAGTTCCAGCAGCTTTGAAGAGACATGAGATAAAGTCATCACAGTTAAGAATCCTTGCTTAACGCTTAATGAGATGAAACTTAAGAGTGAAATTCTATATTTTCACGGGGAGTTGAGAAGGTCTTTGGGGGTCTAGATCTGCCTAGAACCCTTGTCCTTATGAAGAATTTGGTGGATACTGGGTTTTGGTAGAACACAAGAGGAGGAAAGAACTAATCATAAAGTTGTTGGAGTAGAAATTGAGTTGGATGACCTTCAAGGCCTTTTAAAATTCCAAACATTTCTGTGATTATGATTCTGTGATTAGCCACTCACTGTTTTCTCATGAGAATCTTTTCTATAGAATTAATTGTAACTTTGAGAAATCTAGTACCAATAGCTAATCCTTGTGTGTGTGTGTGTGTGTGTGTGTGTGTGTGTGAGAGAGAGAGAGAGAGAGAGAGAGACATTCAGGTCTCCTATTATCATTGTTGTGCTTTCTATTTTTTTTTTAAAGATTTATTTGAATGACAGAGTTACACAGAGAGAGATCATCTGCTGGTTCACTCCCCAGGTGGCCAAAACAGCCAGGGCTGGGCCAGGCCGGAGCCAGGGGCCAGGTGCCAGGAGCTTCTTCCACATGGGCTCAGGGGTCCAAGTACTTGGGCCATCCTTCACTGCTTCTCCAGGCACATTAGCAGGGAGCCACATGGGAAGCGGAGCAGCCAGGACTCGAACTGGTGCCATGCTAGAGCCGTAGGCAGTGGCTTTACCTGCTATACCACAGTGCTGGCCCCAGTTAACCATTTTAAAGTGATGTTTCTCTATCCTTTTTCCTTTTTTCTGACATGCAATCCAGGAATCATAAAATCAAGTTGGATGCCACGGTTTCGTAACTATGAAGAATTCAATCAAATGACCCTACAAGTAAGAGAACTTTTGTTTTTTATTTCATATGTAGAAAATACATAGTAGAAGATAGAGAATAGTGTTTTAAAAAAGGGTTACTTATTTGTTTTAAAGTCAGAGTTACAGAGAGAGAGGGAGAAACAAAGAGAGTCTTCGTCTGCTGGTTTACTCCCCAAATGGCCTCAAAGGCCATGGCTGGGCCAGGCCCAAGCCGGGAGCCAGGTGCTTCTTCTGAGTCTGCTACATGCGTGCAAGGGCCCAAGCACTTGGGCCATCTTCTGCTGGTTTCCCAGGCAGATTAGCAGGGAGTTGGATTGGAAGCGGAGCAGATGGGACTTGAATTGGCTCCCATAGGGGATTCCAGGGTTGCAGATGCAGGCTTAACCTGCTGCGTGCTGGCCCCTTGTCATTTTAGATGTTCTGTACTAGGAAGCATTTTTTTATATATCTTACTCAATATATAGCAGGAAAGTGATGACAGTATCCACATTTATAAGTAAATGACTAAACCAACCATGCATGAAAGTGTCCTTAAAATATCCTTAGTACTTTTGAAATTAAATGTGCTTCAAAGGAAATAAGTCTTCTTAGCTCATGTTTGTGTTAATTGGGTGTACATTGAAATTTGTCTAAGTGACATCTCATTTGATAAACATCTCATGCTTAAGGTTAAATAGATTCTGTGTAGGAGGTAGAATAATAGCATTTTAATTAATTCTGTACCTACTTTATTGATATTTAAGATTGTAATACATTTTCAGTGTTCTATTATGATTATTTGCATTTAGAAATAAAGCTATCATTTCGTTATTGTTAACTATTTAATTACATTATTATTTTCTCTTCATTAGTCGTTAGATGCCTTTATGGTTATACTGAGCACAGATGGACTGATTATTTACGTGTCTGAAAATATTTCACCTCTTCTTGGCTATTTGCCCGTAAGTTCTACAAGCTTTTGGGAAAGTGGATTGCTCTGGTTTATTGCTTAGTGGTTTATTGTTTGTTATTGGGAGCAAATAATTCAAAAGAGAAGATGCTCACAGTGTTGTCAAAAGTATGCCGTGTTTTATGTTCATCTCTGTTGCTTTCAGTTTTAAATCTATACAAAGCATTCTGATATGAGGTAAGGAAACACGTTTTGCTTTTTTGGTTTGAAATCTGCCCCAGGAGGCAATCCCTAAAAAAGCATGCACCTTATAAAACAGCAGTCTCCTCAGAATCCGTGGCTAGTCTCCGAGGTGACTACTTGGAGAGGAGAGAGCTGTTGCTAAGAGAGGTGGTGCGATGTGGGGTGGGTGTTTGATTTTGATTTTGTACATTTCTTTAGGTTCAGTCACATATAGATTAAACAATGTCAAGACTTTTTATGCTGACTCGTGGAATCCAATCCGTGTCTGATTTGGTTTTTATTTATATAAAAGAACAAATAATGATCTACTTTAGAAGCAATGTAGAAACAATTGTGTGGATTTGCAATGTCATAAATATTGCTGGGGGCAACTACACATTAGTTGTGCTTAGGATCTCTGGTGTCCAAAAATCACTCATTCCTGAGCCCTTTGATGGAACTGTGACTCCTTTGGGAAAGCTTTCTACATCATGATAATACTGACGACTTGGAATATATAATTCCCTAGTGCTTTTTTGTGGATCTTCAGGCTGCACATCTAACAACTGTATTACTTAAATATGAAAGTACTACACGCCTTAGTACATTCAGACTGTTATAAAGAATATCATAGACTGAGTGGCTTATGGCCAACAGAAATTTATTGCTTGTAGCCTGCAAGTCTGAAAAGTCCAAGTTCAAGGTGCAGTGCCTGGTTGAGGGGCCACTTCTGGTTCATAGATGTATGAACTTCACTGTAATCTCATATGACAGAAGAGGCAATGATCTCTCTGGAGTCTCTTTTATAATGACACTAATTCTGCTCATGAGAGCTGTATCCTCATGTCTTAATTACCACCTAAAGGCCCACTTCTTAATATCATCACATTGAGAATTAGTATTCAGCATATTAATTGTGGAGAGACACGAACATTAAACCTATAATGGTGCTTTCATATGTACATCCACCATCACAGATCCTCCCCCACGAAACATCTTTCATCTGGATTGTTGTTTTTCTTGTGTATTCTTCAATCCATAGAGTTCTCTCACGAACTTGCCAAACCCTGCCCCAGAAATCCGTAGTACTTGAGTTTGGAGTGTGGAAATTAACAGAATGTTGCTTAGATTATCGTATGGTTAAGTTGGAATTGGGCTAGTTTATTTCACTAGTTAGTGATGTCAGCATGTTCCATGGATCTCTTTGAAACTAAGAGTTTTAATATTCTTTTCTTTTGATTCACAGATGCTAGAATCCATCCTTTCTATTTCTCATTATCTTAGTTTACATTTCCAAATTTAGTTTGTATTTGTAGGATACTAAAACAACTGAATAAAATGCAAATATTAGAGTTGTTTATTGAATTTAATTGGACTTTAGAAAATTTTTATCATAGAAATGGGAGATCTTATTAAAATCTATATTAAAATAAAGAACTGTGAGTGTGATCCTCTACAGTTTGTAATTTGTTATAGTGAAGATAAGAAAACTCCTCAAATATCAGATATTACATAATCCGTGTTGGCTGTTGAGTGAGACTGGTGACCATTTCCTGTTACATGAAGATTTTTCATAGTGTTGCTGTTTGTTATATTACGTTTATTTCTTAATGTATTCAGTTCCAGGGTTTTCACTTTCTTTTTTTAAGATCTATGTATGTATTTATTTTGAAAGTCAGACTTAGAGAGAGAGAGACAGAGAGAGAGAGAGAGAGAAGAGAGAGAGAGATACATATACACACAGAGATCTTCCATCCTCTGGTTCACTTCCCAGATGGCTGCAATTCCCATGGTAGGGCCAGGCCAAAGACAGGAGCCTGGAATTCATCAAAGTCTCTTAGCTGATGCAAGGGCCCAAGCAATTGGGCCATCTTCTGTTGCTTTTCGCAGGCCATTAGCATTGAGCTGGATTGGAAGTGGAACAGCAAGGACACTAACTGGCACTCATGTGGGATGCCAGCATCCCAGATGGCAGCTTTACCCACAACACCACAGTGCAACCAACTCCCCCTGCTGAGTTTTACGTTTCAAGAGGCTCTTTCACCCTTGGACATTTGAAGTACCCCCAAATACACACACACACACACACACACAAACACGCAGTGTTACCCATGAGATGACATCTTTTGGACTATCACTCTTAAACTATAGACTTGATTATCTGAGATTGGTGTACTTAAAATAAGGGCATAACTGTTCTATCTTTACATAAACCTTAAATGAGAATGAAGTCACACATTGTTTTTTTTTTAAGATTTATTTATTTATTTATTTATTTAAGATTTATTTTTATTTGCAGCCCAATTGGCTGCAATGGCCGGAGCTGCGCTGATCCAAAGCAGGATCAGGAGCTTCTTCTGGGTCTCCCACGTGGGTGCAGGGGCCCAAGGACCTCTACTGCTTTCCCAGGCCATAGCAGAAAGCTGGACTGGAAGAGGAGCAACCGTGACTAGAACCGGCACCCATATGGGATGCCAGGGCTGCAGGCAGAGGATTAACCTAGTGCGCCATGGTGCCAGCCCCAATGGATTACATTTTTAACGGCAGAATTTAGCAGAGTCTGAACATAGGTACACGGTTAATTTGTGATAATTGGGATAAGATTTGCTCTGTTCTTCCTGAACTTCCAGCAATAGAAGAGAATTATTACTGACAAGTCTCATTTGATGTAATACGCAGCCTGAATTTCTTGCAGAGGCTCTTATGCTTTCCTGTGTCCTCTAGAGTTGAGAAGTTTTCTAATGCGTGTCTACTGTGAATGTCTCAGGCACGAAAAAATATTTTTTTTCTTGGAGATACTTCTTGACTGTGACATGGAGTGGAATGAATTTCTTTTTTAAGAAAAGATTTATTTATTTGAAAGGCAGAATTACAGAGAGGCAGAGGCAGAGAGAGCAAGATCTTCCATCCGCTGGTTCACCCCCAAGATGGCCACAATGGCCGGAGCTGGGTCGATCCGAAGCCAGGAGCCAGGAGCTTCTTCCTGGTCTCCCCGGTGGGTGCAGGGGCCCAGGGACTTGGGCCTTTTTCTACTGCTTTCCCAGGTACATTAGCAGGGAGCTGCATCGGAAGTGGAGCAGCCAGGACTTGAACTGGTGCCCATATGGGATTCCGGCACCGCAGGCGGTGGCTTTACGCACTACATCACAGCGCCAACCACTCCTTTATTCTTTTTTTTTTTTGCATGACTGGGACCATACTGATATTTGTGTGACAACTAACAGGTATTCAAACTTGGCTTTTGAAAAATCTCCTTAATTTTTCACTGGTATTTATCCTCGCTTCATTAAGCTTTAAGTATGTTGATCTTTCTGCCTTGTGTAATAAGAAGAGCAAATGCCAAAGATCTAGAAAAAGAACACGAGGTTGATAATGCTTTCAGGTCTCTGCCCTTTTTCCAACAAAGGAGCAGGTCACTGGAATGATTGTTATGCTCATTATTTAATTGGTGGCTAATTGTAAGTCTTATTATCAATATTCTCATCCCTAAATAACCAATAAGAAACTCATGGGAATGGGAATTCTTTTATGTGACAATGCTGTCCTTCATTCCTCTATTGAGAACAAAGTCTGGCATGGAGCAGTGGTTTATTATGTGTTAGATGAATGAATGAGTGATCTCCACTGAGATGAGATAACTTGATTTGGTATCTAAATTGCATTTGGGACTAAACCAATCAAATAATTTCATTGAATTTATTGAAAATGGTAGGTTTAATGAATAGTAATCTACATTTCTTTGCAAAGACAATATTTTAATCTGTGACTTTCACTGTCAAAGTATATTGCCTATTAATTCTGTAAAGTTTTGTTTGCTAAATTAATGTAATTCTATTCAGGAGCCAAGCCTTTTCATGAATAAGACAGGATCCATCTGCTAAATTTCAGCGCTGACCAACTCATAGGCTGTTTCTGCAAATGGACCCTAAATATTTATTTCTAAATATTGACTGTAGATTATTACTATTAATCAGTTAAAATCATTTGAATTTTGTAGTTCATCACCCAAAGTTGTTACTCAACTACAAAGGATACTTTATGACTTTGTTCCTATCACATTAAAAACTCTTTATTTTTTTATCTGTTATTCAATTTATCCATTTGTCTCCATATTTCAACTACATGGTACAGCATTGTTCATTCATTCAACTAATATTTATTAGTACTCACATGCCAAATTCTGTTCTATGTGTTGATAATAAAGCCCTTTATAAATGACTGGGGATGAGTATTTCACATGGATTGAGGATTAAATATCTGCTTGGTGTATTTGGATATGAGCAAGGAATTACATGGATCTGGAGTTCAGGGAGCAGCAAGAGAGAAAGTGAGAGGAAATAAAACTCAATAGCCACGAGGATGCAGAATATACAGCAGTAAAGGCTAATTTAAAGACTTTAGATTTACTCTGAATGAGTTGGATAGCCAGTAGAAAGCTTTGTGCAGAGGCTTAATGTGATCTGACTTCAGTGGATCACCTCCCTGCTGTTCTGTGGAGAATAGAATGTTGGCAGAGGTGTGGCAAGAATAGATGAAGAGAGACCAGTTAAGTCTATTGGATTAATCCGAGATGGAGATGAGAAGTGGGACAATTCTGTGTGCATTTTTGAAGTTAGAAACAATAGAGCTTGCTGTTAATGAGTTTTGGAGATAATAGGCACGTCAGAGATAAACAAATAGGTAAATGATGATGTTGTTTATTGAAATGAGAGTCTGAGGGAAAAGTATATTTTTTTCCAGGAAAAATACCAGGAGCTCTGTTTTGTATTTCTCAAAATTGAAAATTTTTTAGTTGCCTCTGGGACCTAAGGCTAGAAGAATTCAAGGAGAAGTCTGTACTATAAATGAGAATTTGGGAGTCATTAACAGATATTTGTATTTAATGAGATAGAGCTGGAAGAGACCATCTAGGGAGACAGTGTATTAAGCGAAAAGGTCCAACCAGTAAGCCAGGGGAACTCCAATACCTAGAAGTCAGGAATAAGATTGGAAGATCCAGCAAAGAAAATTGTGGAGTAGGCTTTGAGGTAGAAGCGTATCTGTATGTGTGATGTCTTGGGAGCCAAATAAAGAGTTTGATGAAAGAAGGGTTAATTAATTGCATAAAATTTTGAAATATTAGGTAAAACAAGGACTGAGAGTTGGCTGTTGGATTTGGCAAGATGGAGGTTATTGTGACTTTGATAGAAGCAGTTTCAGTGGAGTGGTTAGGAAAAAAAGATTAGCATAGTTTTAAAGTATATTAAGTAAATGAAAGAGAGATATCAAGTTAGTCAGTAGTTCATTTCAAGGACTTTTGCTCCAAAATTGGCCTTAGAAGTAGTGTTACAGCTGGAACAGAGGAGATAGCAGCAAGGAAGGTTTTGAGTTTTTTAGACTTTCTTTTTTTGGCTTTCAATATAATAGATACTATAGCACGTTTGACAAAGCATTTGCATGCGTGCTGTAGGGAGGCCCAGTAAGAATGGAAAAATTGATGATATAGGAGTAAGGAGAGAATTTCTAGAATGATATCTGAGTATTCAAGAGAAAAATGAGATGCAGTGCATAAACAAAGGAGTTCAACTTAGGAACTTATTAATTGGAATAGGAGGGAAAGCACATCTCTAGAAGCAGGAACAGATATGTTGGCAAACTTGGTGCCAGGGAGATGGTGACTTTTTTTTTTCTTCAGTGAAATCAGAAATTAGGCCAGTGAAAAATGAAGAGACTGAGGGTTTAGAGGTTTGGAGAAGGAGGAAAAGTCAAGAAATAGTCACATTGAAGAATAGGAGATCAAATTGTCCGTGGAAATGATTTCTGGGAAGAGCTGAGTACCAATTTCAAATAGTATAATGCATGGCTGTGGGTTTTTCTCCATCCACATTTGATTGCTTGGGTGAAGGTGTAGGATAGATGAGCAGTTAGAAGTTTTGATTTTCCCAGGAAAACTTGGCAAAAGGCAAGAACACATAGGAATGGTCATAATGGCCAGTGAATCTGAGCTTGTTTTTTTTTTTTTTTTTTTTTTTTTGACAGGCAGAGTAGACAGAGAGAGAGAGACAGAGAGAAAGGTCTTCCTTTTGCCGTTGGTTCACCCTCCAATGGCCGCTGCGGCTGGCGCACCGCGCTGATCCGATGGCAGGAGCCAGGTACTTCTCCTGGTCTCCCATGGGGTGAGGGGCCCAAGGACTTGGGCCATCCTCCACTGCACTCCCTGGCCACAGCTTAGAGCTGGCCTGGAAGAGGGGCTACCGGGACAGAATCCGGCGCCCTGACAGGGACTAGAACCCGGTGTGCCGGCGCCACAAGGCGGAGGATTAGCCTAGTGAGCCGCGGCGCTGGTCTTGAGCTTGGTTTTAAGGGATATAATGCCCAGTAGAAATGTGTTAGGAATGAACTGGAGGTCTCAGTGGGTGGAGTAATTTTTTTAGAGGTGGAGTGCTTGAATTGAGTATACTGAAAAGGTAGGAAATAGTGGTCATAGAGTTGGGGCACAGTGAATTGTATTTTGAAAGGTATAACAAATATAGCCACACCATCAAAGAAGGAGGTACCTTGCGCTGAAGGGAGGAGAGAACTTCCACTTTGACTATAGCCTTGTCGAAATAAGATCAAAGTCGGCGATCTCAGAGGGCTTCCATGGCCTTGGCAACTCATGACTAGAGCCTGGGGAGATTGCTGACGCCTTAAACAAGAGTGTCAATTTGTTAAGTCAACAACAGGAGTCACTGTGCACTTGCTCCCCATGTAGGATCTCTGTCCTTAATGTGTAGTTCAATGTGAATTAATGATACGACTAGTGCTCAAACAGTATTTGGTAATTTGTGTTCCATGTGGGGGCAAACTGATGAAATCTTTACTTAACATATACTAAATCAATCTTCTGTATATAAAGATAATCGAAAATGAATCTTGATGTGAATGGAAGGGGAGAGGGAGTGGATAAGGGGAGGGTTGTGGGTGGGAGGGAAGTTATGGGGGGGAAGCCATTGTAATCCATAAGCTGTACTTTGGAAATTTATATCTACTAAATAAAAGCTAAAAAAAAAAAAATAGAGCCAAGGGAGATTACTGATGCCATAAACAAGAGTGTCAATTTGTTAAGTCAACAACAGGAGTCACTGTGTACCTACTTCTCATGTGGGATCTGTCCTTAATGTGTTGTCCAATGTGAAGTAAAGCTATAACTAGTACTGAAACAGTATTTTACACTTTGTGTTTCTGTGTGGGTGCAAACTGACGAAATCTTTACTTAATATATACTAAATCAATCTTCTGTATATAAAGATAATTGAAAATGAATCTTGATGTGAATGGAATGGGAGAGGGAGCGGGAGATGAGAGGGGTGTGAGTGGGAGGGAAATTATGGGGGGAAGCCATTGTAATCCATTAACTGTACTTTGGAAATTTATATTTGCTAAATAAAAAATTAAAAAAAAATATAGCCATAGATGACTGAGGTTGAATAGAGGATAAGCTCGTTGGAGGTAAGGAGATAGAGGAACTGAACAGTATTAGCATGTCTAACAAAATTTCTCCTTATCCCTGTCCGTTTTCTTCTTCCTCTTTCCAGGAAGAGATTGTGGGCAAAAAATTATTACACCTTCTCCACGATGAAGAGAAGAATGAAGTCTACCAGAAGATAGCTCTTAAACTTCCTATGTCAAACTCTGGTACATAAAAAATAAGTTTTTAGATTTTAAGAGACAAGAGGCAAACATTCAGTGGAGTAGTTTTATAATATCCAACATTATAATGTTAAAAATCTCTCCTCTACTAAGTCTTGTTTAACCACAAATCCCCAATATTGCACGAATGTGTGAGTGCTATAAACACAATAGACCATTGTGCATAAGGTTCTTGCTTGCACCTTACCCTACAGATACAACATAAATAGCCATGTAAGTGCTAATGTTCATGGGAATAAAATATTTTTGTAAAATCTAGTGTAAGACATTGCTTGTATGAACTTATACAGTAGAATATGATAAAGTGCAAATGTAGAATTGTTTTGTGTCTATTCTTTTTTTAGTAGAAAAACACATTGAATTTGGCTGTTATTTGAAGAGAGGAGATACTGAACATGACGCTTATGAATATGCAAAGTTCATTCTGGATGTAAAAGATATTGCTTTACAAAGTGGTAAGCAGTTCACTTTATCGTCTCTAGATGATGTCAATGAGTTATGTAACTTCCTCATTACTAACATTAATGTCTTCTGCACTCAGTATTTACAAATTTTCATGTTTTTTTCAAGATTAATTTATTTATTTGAAAGGCAGAGTTAGAGAGAGAGAGAGAGAGAGAGAGAGAATATCTTCCATCCACTGGTTCACTCCCCAAATGGCCACAATGACCAGGGCTGGGCCAGGTTGAAGCTAGGAGCCAGGATCTTGTTCCAGGTCTCCAACGTAGGTGCAGTAGCCAGCACTTGGGCTGCTTTCCCAGGTGCATTAGCAGGGAGCTGGATTGGAAGTAGAGCAGCCAGGACATGAACCTGTGGCCATATGTGATGCCGTTGCTGCAGGCCGCATCTTAACTCACTGCTTCACAGCGCTGGCCCTGCAAACTTTCTATTTCCATGGCCAAACTTTCTATTTACATACATTAATTGGAATTTAAAAAAACTAATAGTGAAATGTACAAGGTAAGCTCATGCAAAAGTATAGTAGACTGAGCTGATAAGGATGGCTTTCTGCTTTTCTGAAACAAGGAAATTACTGCTGAAATGCAACAAAAGAAATGTAATGCATATGAAAACTTAAAATAAAGGGACTCTGTGTTGCCAGAAATTAAAAGATACAGCAATACAGGGTCAGCATTGTGGAACAGTGAGTTAAGCCGCTACCTGCTGGTTTGAATACTGGCTGCTCTGGTTCCAATCCAGTTTTCTGTTAATGTACCTGGGAAGGCAGTGGAAGATGACCTGAGTACTTGGGGCCCTGCTGTCAACACTGGAGACCTACATGCAGCTCCAGGCTCTTGGATTCAGCTTGACCCTGCCCCAGCTATTGTGGGAAGACTCTCTCTCTCTCTCTCTCTCTCTCTCTCTCTCTCTCTCAGCTATTGTGGGAAGACTCCCTCTCTCTCTCTCCCCCTCTCCCCCCTTCTCTGCTTCCCTCCTTCCCTCCTTCCCTCTCTCTACTTTTTCTCTGTCACCTACTTTTCAAATAAATAAATAAATAAAATAAACCATTAGAAAATTAAGCAATACCACAGTGGTAAAGAGGAAGCTGATTTTGTGGTGGCCTTGGTGAGTTTTAAATCGTGCATAGGATCCCTTGGTTGGCGTCTGGAGTTCTAAAATGCAATTAAGGACAGATTTGAGGAAGCTTTTAAAAAGTTAATGGACCCACACAGAAACACAAAGTGTAAAATACTGTTTGAGTACTAGTTATAGCATTAAATCACAATGTACAGCACATTAAGGACAGAGATCCTACATGAGGAGTAAGTGCGCAGTGACTCCTGTTGTTGACTTAACAAATTGACACTCTTGTTTATGGGTGCAAACTGTTGAAAGCTTTACTTAATATATGCTAAATTGATCTTCTGTATATAAAGATAATTGAAAATGAATCATGATGTGAATGGAAGGGAAGAGGGAGCGGGAGAGGGGAGGGTTGCGGGTGGGAGGGAAGTCATGGGGGGGAAAGCCATTGTAATCCATAAGCTGTACTTTGGAAATTTATATTCATTAAATAAAAGTTAAAAAAAGTTAATGGAAAATGTGCACTATCTTTCAATCCATTTTTTCATGAAACTTTTGAGGTATCCTTATATAAAACCTAGAGTGAACGTGGTAATTACCTGATTTTATCAGTTCATGTTGCATACATGTATTGAACTACTCAGAGTATCCCATAAAATATACAGGTATTATATGTTTATCAAAAATTTTAAAAAATTAAAAACATTTAAGTGTTAATAAAATAAAACCTAGAAATCAGTAAGATGATCAGTAAAGTTCTGTCCACTGACCTAGAAGAAGAGCATTTCTCTGGGAATTTGAATATATATCACAGGAAATCAAAGCATGGATTTGTGTTATATATGGATATGGGGTTCAACTTATAATTTTTTAAAGATTTACTTTTTTATTTGATAGTTAAAGGGAGGGAGGGAGACAGAGAGAGAATTTCCATTCACTGGTTCACTCCTCAGATGGCCACAACAGCTGGTGCTGGGCCAGGCTGAAGCAAGAAACCAGGGCCCAAGCTGCTTTTCCAGGCCATTTTCAGGGAATTGGATTGGAAGTGGAGCTGCCAGGACTCAAGCTGGCGCCTATATGGAATGCTGGTATCACAGGCGGCAGCCCCACCCACTATACCAGAAAGACAGCCCCCACTTAAAATTTTTGAGGTCTCAGGAACTGCAAGCTAACAAATTAATAAGTTAATTAACATTAGTTGCTTTGGGGCCACTAAAGCATCTGGATTGGATGGTCAACCTTACTAATAAGCAAAGAATAGAAAGTGTAAAAACTCGTGAGATGGCACTCTACAACCCAGCAGAGCAAAAATTAGAAGAGTATGTAGTAACAAATCTTAGTGAAGATGTGAGAAATGAATGAATAAGTAAACAAACAATGAAAACTAGCTCATACAAAGTTCAGCTGATGTATTTGCTGTGTTTCTTGGAAATTAAGGGTCAGTTACATTTCAAAAAATCTTACTTGATTACATATGAATATACACACAAGTTACATACACATGAACACTTAATATCCATGTGGTGTTTATAAAGGAGAACAGATCAGAACATTCATCCACAGGGTTGTGTTAGTATACATGAGTAAGTGAAGTTCAGCTCATGTATTTCAAACTGGAAATCTCAGTGGAGATTCATACATACTTCAAAGAGGCAAAATCATTTACAAGTGGTTTTGCTACAATATAGAATAGGTATATATGAGCTGCTGGGGGCTGGAACATATAAAGGAAAGTGAACCTTCTGACAGGTAAATATTATTACAGATGGCTAAAACCAACATGAACTCATAATAATTGATTCTCTGTTACGACTTCTTCATGTTTTGATAAGGACCATCTTGGGAAGGGTTGCAGGAAAAAAGGAAAACAGGAAAAATTAGAATTTTGAAAATTGTCAGTAGGCTGACAAGCAGCACACTTTTGTGGAAGGGATCTGTTTTCTTGTTTATCCAACTTACCGTTCAATTGTCATATGTGTTCCTGTCTCCTTTAGAGCCTTTTGCATTATTTGCTGCCCACATTCCCACCAGCTACTACGATGCACCAACTAACTCGACTCTTCCTTGGGAGGATCGGATTTATCTTGTGGGAATGATTTGTATTATCAGGAATAAGATTCTAAAGGTGAGTGTGCTGTGTGTGTATATCCATTGCATCCCATTTGGTGCCTTAGCCACAGGACAACATTGCTAAAGCACTCAATGTGTGCAGTAGGTTGAGCTAGACTAACACGAATAAGGAAAGATCAACTCTTGTATTTCAAACTGTGCGCATCTCAGTGGAGATTTCGACATGCTTGAAGGAGATGCACAATTATTTATTATGAATATAGAATAGGAATATATGAGCTTCTGGGAGCTGGAACATACTGAAAGAGTGAATATTTTGACAAGCAGATAAAGAATTTTGTCAGAAAGTGAGTTTTGAGGCAGCTGTTTTTTCCCTGATTGTCACTTGTTTTAAAGGATTTTACTCAGTATTCACCTTATTGGGCACTCACAGGCACTATCTAAAAAGAGGAACAAGTCTTTAGACTTAATCTGATATATTTGGGGTCAGATAATTTACTTATTCAGTAACATACTTAGTAAGCACTTCTTAGGTTACAGGTACTATGCTAGTTGCCTTGAAACATACTGGAAGATGGACATAGCTGGGTGATTCTGACCCTTGCCATGGAGATAAGACAGAATAACTTGCTAATAACTTGGGGAGATGGAGAGCTCACATGTCTGGTCCCTTTCTGAGAGCAGAGACCCTCAGTGACGACAAGAAAAGAAGGCAAAAGCCCTTAGGTAGCACTAGTTTGGCAGGTACCAAGAAGCAAAGTGGAATATGTGATTATAATAAGTGAAACAGGAAAGAGTAGTAGAAAACAGGATTTAAGAGGTCGCAGGGTCCAGATCATGCAGAACTTTGAGATCCTTAGTAATGACTCTAGGTTTTTCCCCAAGTGCATTGGAAAGCAAAAGAGTGACAAGATCGAATTTACTTAGAAAAATTTGGGCTGACTCTGACTTCTGAGTGGGAATGGAGTATGGAGAAAGAGGATCTATGTGAGAGATGATAGGGGCTTTGATCATGATTGTAACAATGGAGATAGAAGTGGAGATGGGGCATTTCCTGATGAGTTGAAAGTGGCTGGGAGAAGAGAGAAACATCTCAAGCATGATCCTTTGCTCTTTGGCCTGAGGAAATCGTTGAGTAGAACTGTCATTAACTGATTTGAGCAGGATGAACAGTATGGATTGGAGAGCGTTTGGGGTTCAGAATCAAGAGTTCATACCATTATCTTGATGATATTGCAACATTCAACCCATCCAACCCCTTACCTTAAAGGGGGAGCTTCTGGATCAAGGCAACTTGAGTTCTAACCCTTTTCCTACCATCTGTGTGACCTTGGCCAAGTGGTATCATTTACTCTCAGTTTCTTTTTCTATAAATGATGATAATAGTACCTCATTTTAGGGTTGATGTGGGGAGCAAATAAGAGAGTGTCTCATATGTAAACACTACTAAAATTCACATGATCATCGCTATCACTGTCATTAATATTGCTATTTTAGTATCTAGGACAGGATATCGGGTAGCCCTCCAGATTTAAACTGCTGTGTTTACCATGAGATGTAGACGTCTCATCTGGGGGGTCGAAGCCAATATCTAGTTCCTGTTCTGATAAAGACAGAAAATCTTATATGGCCCACCACTCTAGTCCCCTTCATGGCCCATGGCCCAAGGAGCTCTATTTTTATCTACTCCAGTTTTTCTCTGGGTTTCTAGAATATTTGTTCTATATTGGTGGATATTTTGGAGAAGATATCATGAAAATAGAAGGCTTTGGGCAGCTTTCTTTTTATACTGTGACTGTGTAGCACTGTGGGAAGAACATTTAGCTCAGGGTTTAAACTTTTTGAAATTCTGCTGCTGGATTTACTATCTCTGTGTCTTGGGGTAAATTGTTACATCTCTGTAAATCCTGAATTTTCCTACATGTGAAATACAGTGCCTTTCTCAAACTGATAGGGAAATTAGTTATGACATTGAATATGAGCATGCTTCCAAAATTAGATATGTTGCATATACCATGTATTTATTGTGTAAATATATTGTAAGTGTCTAAACATGCCAGTATTTTTGCAGGAGCTTTATGATAACAGATACTTCAACAGAGAAGTTCTACTTACTCAAGATTCAGAAGGCGAACATGCTCCTTGGAACACCAGGTGAGAGGTAGTGTTAGCACAAGTAATGGAGATGTAGAATACATTTCTGTTACACAAAACTAAAGCAAGAGAAAGAATATCTCTAGATTTTTTTCCATCAAAATAAAAAAATCAAGTGAATCCAGAAGACCAATCCACTAGTCTTAATTCCCTTTCCCAATTAATATAATTCATATTTTCCTACCCAATATTAATATGGGTGATGGCTTTTTATTAAAACCAGTTCAAGTAATAGAATAGTTCAAGTGTAGAGTCAATTTAACTTAGAGATATTTAATGACTTTCAAATTAAGATAATGCATTTAAAATAATACTTAATTTTTAATTGAAAATAGAGATAATGTTTAGAGAACAGAAGCCAATACTCTACTATTTTAGGTGGAAAAAACAAGTTTGTAACCCACAGGAAAATGTTGATCGACTTGCTACATATCACCAAAACCCTCTTCACTCCCATTTAACAACCCACCAAGGTTTTCTGTAAAATATAAACTTTTTATAATAGTCTCTATCTAGTTACTTAATACTTGATAAACAACAACAGTTGATATGTTGATATGCAGTGAGCCACAATACCATGCAGTACACAGTGTACAGAATTGGGAACCTTTTCCTTCTACATGATCATGTACATGTACTGATAGATCAATAATGGAATTATGCATTAAATATGTGCTCTACAAGCCAGCAGTAATGCTTAGCAAAATAAAATAAGCAAATGAGTACTTCGTGAGAGGTTTTATCATTGGAGGGCATGCTTGTTTGAGGTCTGATGGTAAGAAGAGGGAGCTTGAGGCTGTGGTCACTCTTACTCTTGGGGAGTAGGTAAGGAAACCAGATTGGTGAAGGAATGAGTTAAACAGGAAACAGCTGAGGTTCATGCATGTGTAGATCTGAAAGAGGACAGAGAGAATCCTCCCTTCCCCGCAGGAGCAGTCAGAGGTGATTGGCTGTGAACCATTGTCAGAATCTCTGCACAGAGCAGAGATTGAAAAGAGAATTCATGATGGGTGACTGCATCCATGTTGCTTGGTTAAACGCTCTGGCTAACCTAAGGGTGCATTTTTTTTTAAGATTTCTCTCTATATATTTGAAAGCCAGAGTTACAGAGACAGAGAGAAAGAGACACAGAGAGATCTTGCATCCACTGGTTCTTTCCCCAGATGGCAACAATAACCAAGACTGGGCCAAGCAGAAGCCAGGAGCCAGGAACTTCATCTGGGTCTCCCATGTGGGTGCAATGGCCCCCAACGCTTAGGGCCACACTCCACCTCTTTGCATAGTGCATTAGCAGGGAATTGGATCAGAAGTGGAGCAACTGTGACACGAACTGGCACCCATATAGGATGCTGGCAAAACGGGCAGTGGCTTTACCCTCTATGCTACAAAGCCTGCCCACTGAGGGTGCATTTGTAATTGGGTGTCAAATGTGACATGTCTGCTCATGTGCTCACATTCTTTTGTGTCAGCAAGCTTTTTCTTTGTAGAAACTTTGAAGTTTTGTACATCTTCATCATTTTATTCACAGTTCGAAGGAGTTGGGGACAACTTAGTCCTTGCTGTCTTGCTTACTTCCTTCATTGGTTTCTTTACTTTCTTAGAAGATCTTTTACTGAACAACTGGGAAAGAGGATAGCCACAAGACATAAAGTGTTTTAAACAAGGTTAACTCAAGACACTATCCTCAAAGACACAGTAGCAGTATGCTTCACATCCTCTTGCATAGGTGTGCAAGAGGATGTGCAACCTAAGATGGATTAATCTAGTAGATTTTGGTAATGCATTTGTGTAAAAAAGTTAGCACATCATTGTAGGAAATATTCAGATAATGAAAGTTCAGAGATCAAAGAGAACCTATACCTATTTTAGAACAAAGAGACAAAGATTTATTTTACACTTGATCTTAGCCAAAAGGCCGAGAAGTGACAAAGATCTTATTGTAAAGACAGATTTAACAAGATGAAAATATTTTGATGCACAAAGGAGTCCTATATTACATTTATGCCAGCAACATTCATAGAATATGCAAGAAATTTTTTTCCTGAAGGGTAATGAGCACATTATTTCTAATACTCTAAGAAATTATTACATCAGTGTGGATGATATACTACAGTTCTATCTACTGAGGTTTGGTTGTATTGGGACTTTATACTGGCTGAGGAGTACACTGACTTCATTCCTTTTTTTTTTTTTAAAGATTTATTTATTTATTTGAAGGCAGAGTTACAGAGAGGCAGAGGCAGTGAGTGAGAGAGAAACAGAGAGAGGTCTTCCATCTGCTGATTCACTCCCTAGCTGCGCCTATCTGAAGCCAGGAGCTAGGAGCTTATTCCGGGTTTGGGCCATCTTCTACTGCTTTCCCAGGCCATAGCAGAGAGCTGGATGGGAAGTAGAGCAGCCGTACTCAAAGTGGCGCCCAAATGGAATGCCAGCACTGAAGGTGGCAGCTTTTCCAGCTATGCCACAGTGCTGGCCCCTGACTTCGTTTTTGTGTCTACCTAATCTCTAATAGGGAAGAGTCTCACATATCACTGTATCAGAATGCCACATGTTTCAGTTTCTCTGCCACTAAGTAGCTAGCTTGCCCAGTCTCACCACTCTAGATTTAATGAAGCTTATTTATTCATACAACACATATTTAGCACCTACAATTTGGGAGGTTCCATTTTAGGATCTGGGCCTTCAGCAATGAGCAAAGATCCTTATCATCATGGTACTTAATGCACCAATAGAGGATAAATATAACAAGCCGGCGAATTCGTAAACTATAGATCAGGTTATATGGTAATGAAAGCCAAGGGGGAAATAGGCAGTGAAACGAGATAGGGACTGCTGTGGAGGGAGATGAAATTTTACTAGGTTTTGCCACAGTGAGTGGCATTTTTATAGATTAAAAATGGTGGATATTACCAATTCCCTATAGTTTAAATTTATTGATAGGATGTCCAGAAAAGACCTCAAAAAGCAGGTGACTTCTGCTTTAACACCTGACAGGAGTGGAGGAGCAAGTCTCCTTGATTTTTTTTTTAAGATTTCTTTATGTATCTGAAAGGCAGAGTTAACAGAGAGAGAAGGAGAGACAGAGAGATCTTCCATTTGCTGGTTCACTCCCTCAATGGCTGCAATGGTCGGGGCTTCACCGATCCAAAGCCAGGAGCCAGAAGCTTCTTCTGGGTCTCCCACATGGGTGCAGGGGCCCGAGGACTTGGGGCATCTTCTGCTGCTTTCTCAGGCCATAGCAGAGAGCTGGATCAGAAATGGAGCAGCCGGGACTCGAACCAGCACCCGCTATGCCATAGCAGCGGCCCTGCCTCATTGAAGAGCAGAGGCCAAGGCTCAGAGGCAGAGGCTCTGGAAACAGCAAGAAAGCCAGTGTGACTGAAGTACAATTGCCAGAGAGTGATAGAGTCGCAGCATGCAGGCCCTGCTAGGCCATGGAGAGCAGTGCAGCTGCAGAGAGTGTGAGCAGCTTTAGGGAAGAAGCCAGGAGCACGCCAGCTAGTCCCTGCCTTCATGGGGTAACAGTACAGTCAGTCTCCGCGACTTCCCTCTGCTTTCCGGTGTCGCGGAGAGGACAATTCTTCTGCTCTCCCTGTGCAGGTCAGATGGCTAATTTTACAGATTCTACTCCTCACTGCTACTTGTCACATTTGATAAATACTGTGGTGGGCTTGTTGCATAGTTAACTATACTACCTATGGGTGCATTTACACCCAGGTTGTTTAGTGAAAAGCATCCATGTTTTCTATGGGGCACAGAGGAGGATGCAGTCAAGTCTGAACAGGATGACATTCCTAGCTTCAAGGCCCATCCAGCCATGTGATTCCATTTTCTCATACCGCCCCAAGATACACTCACATGTTTGCATGTGGTGTTAACACATAAGGAAAGAAGTTGGAGAAAACTCCGCAGCCCATCGCCCTGCGGCTGCATTTGCCTCTTGGTTTCCACCTAAATTGTCATGTTAGTCCTTGAAATGCCTGATCTTTGAAAAGGGCATTCTTCAAAAGATGGAGGTAAAAAAGGGATGGAAGTCTTGGGATTTGGTGGTTTATATTTTGTCTTGTGTATATGACCTCTACCCTACCTATAGTCCATCTTCAGCTACGCAGCAAATTATTTTTATCTTCTAATAGCATACAATCATTAGACTGTTAAATTTGCAATTGATAAGAATAGTTTCCTTGTTAATATTTTTGGAAACAATTCTGTGTAAGGGTTTGTACTCAAAACTCACTGAAGTGAAACAAAAATCACTGAGGGTTTAGATACCAATGAAAATGAGTCTAGTAAATATCAAAGTTTATAAAAATCGGGGACAAACTTTCTGAACTATTATCCTGCTTTACAAAATAAGTTGGGATAAATATCTGGCAGACGCTCATTCGTACAGACAATCACTTGTGAAGAAGATGTTATGCTTATTGTAAATTAATCATCTGAAGAAGAGTGAAAGGGTTCATTCAGCTGTTGTCTTAATTCTTTTTGTTTCATCTTTTTCTTGTTATTTTGCTTTCATTCTGTTACCTTTTGTGCATTTTTTCACTTTTTTATTTGAACATTGCAGAAGCTATCATATGTATCTTCTTTTACACGTAGTCACAAGTATTTATATTTTGTCCCATTTTCTTTGTTTTCACTCTCTCTATTTTCCCACCTTACTGCTTCCCTCCCTCTGTTTGTCTTCCTTCTTTCCTCTTACTCCTCATCTGCCTACTCCTCTTGTTACTTCTCTAACTCCTGTCTCTTTTTCTCTTTCTCATGTGTACTACCTCTTTTTCTCAAATACTTCTGCATATTTCCTCCGATTGAGGATATTCCAGTGTATAGCTACATTATGATTATAAAATCAATAATTTTGGTACCTAGAGAATACTATTATCTAACATATGGTCTATGTTAAAACTTTACAATTAGACCAATTGCTGTCCTTTTCTTAGTAGAAGGTCCAATTCAGGATCATGCGTTCAATTTAGCTGTCATATCTCTTTAGTTGTTAA